GTCACCCGTGTTTACTTATATCCCCGTATTACATTTTAACTCACTACAAACACCCATGATTACTTATATCCCCGTATTACATCTTAACTCACTACAGTCACCCATTTTCTTGGGCGTTTCTTGAAACAGTAAAAATGAAGCTTCTCGTGATACCTGATTCCAGCTGCAACCGTATATAAAAAAAATGGGACACGGTCTGATACGCACAAGCCTCCCGCCATGTTTTTTTTTCAACTACGATACACTCAGGGGTTGGCAACGTTCAGATGTTGATAATTATTTGTAATTATATTCTTCTTTTAGATCTTAGCTAGATTGGGATAGATTTTATTTCTTTGGCGATGTTCCTATCAAATGTATGTATATATATATATATATATATATATTTCTTTCTTTGTATATATTTAAAAAAAATGAACATTTTTCTTGGCACATTTTTTTAACCAAACACACATCTTCCCCGAAAAATTCATAATGGCCAACCCTAATATGATTGGGAAAATAAGTAGTGGATTTGAATGATAAGTGGATTTAAATGATAAGTGGATTTGAATGATCAGTGGATTTCCCAATCGTTATTGGCCATCATTGCACCGTGACTGGTCGTCAAATCGTCACTTATTCTGGCTCTGAAAGTAATTGTTTAATGCTTAATTTATGACCAAGACTGCCAGCACTTTCTTTGACTCACGCGAACGATTCAATGTGCCCGGTAACGTGACTAATTTATTTCACGTTGTTAACAACTTGATACGCGGCCACCCTATCGGACTTTACCAATACAAAGTATCCACGTGTAAATAATGGTAAAATAGCTAGCACAATCCACTTCCATTTTGTATACCAGCAGTAGAAAAATGGAAATGAAAAGTAACCACTCAATATCGTCAAATTTGCTAAACCAACAATTCGTTCGAACAGGTGGTTGGCACCGTACGGGGGTGCGACAGTTTAACAATAATTCTGTTTTATTCGTACCGAATATTCTGCCGAGATAGTCGCAATATAAGCGAAAGTACGTATACAGATAGTCGATATCAACACTCCACCAGCCTTGAACTTGTTGCCGATATATGCAAATATCATGGAGGTGAAACACATCTTTTTTTACCTCCATGCAAAGACTGACTCTTACTTTTTCTCATGCAAATTTCAGGTGAATAGTTCGAAGTCCCAGTATGCAGTGCGGGGACGCGGTAGTCATAATCACGTGACCACATATATCTTTGAATGCAACGCAGAGCTATTGAATGGCGCAAAATTCATAAGTCGTCCTTGCAGTTTCACCGAAAACGTCCGCTGTTAACAGAAAAGGAACCCTGACGTTACGTGTAAAGATCATTATAACATTATTGAAGACTCCTAGCGACTGCCTTGAAAATACACCGCCATGCATACTGTGTTGCTTGCGATATCGCTTCTTGTAGTTTCAGGTAGGTGGTAGCGTAGAGTGAAAGTGTTTTGTGTCGTTACCGCAGTTTGTCACATTTACATAAACCCATGCATATCAACGCCCTGTAAATGGTGGTCCAAACAGTTTCCCACATTCATCGACTGACGATAACATTTTCGGTGAAACACATCTTGTCACTGTGGTATTGCTAATATAACCGTGATGTTAAAAAGTTGATCAGCTGGCTGTTTTTCGTTTTGCACAACCTTGCTTTGAAATACGTCATAATATATTCACTACCTGTGACCTCGATTTTTTAGTGCATAAACAACACCCTAAGTTCAACGTTTATTGTACACCACTAATTATGTTTCTACAAGCCAGTTTCCCCGCACGACCTCTAATAATGCGCCCGAACTTTCTCTATTAGCAAATTCGAGGGTTTATTGATTGGCGCCATATAACGTTGTAAACTGGACCTCCATTTAACGTCGTAAGTGTGTACGCTGTTCAGTCGTCTCATATTTACGCTGCTGATAATTGTTCTGCAATTTAATTAAAATGTATCAATGTGTACATTACAAAGATTATGCTATTAATTTTCGCTTTTATATGGATTTGTAACATTGTTGCAAATGGGACAAAGAAGTGTGCTACTTGATAGAATATTCCAGCAATTAACCACCAGGAGGGCGTGGTAGGTAGGCCTGTGGTAGGCAGGTCAGTATTGGCATGCTCGGCAGCGTAAATCACAGATTATTGTTATAATATCAAAAGTAATGGAATTGTTTTCTGTATATTATGAGACAACATTGTTTTCAACTACATGCATCATTGTTTTGAGCCCATGACATTCTGTTTAAGCTTATAATCCCTAGTAATCCATTTGACAATCCAGTTGGTTGATTCAACAGACATCTCACGACATTTTTTCAGTTTGAGGGTGCAGAATACTACTGTCATAAGAATGCTAATTTTAATAGCGCATCTTGAGTGCAATATTTTAGTATTATTCACTTTTGATGGAGAATTTAGGGTTAGGTTGGAGAAGTTAAAGTTGAGGGGTAGGTCAGGGCTGCATGATGAGTTCAATAATGAAATTATCACCAAAGTTTAGGGTGAAACAATGTTGAAATTATTTATCAGCAAAATTTTCAAAATGGCAACAGAAACCAAAATCGTATCTACACCAATGTCAATTTTGTTTGTTTGGAAGTGTAGAGTATTTCACTCTACTTCAAGCATATATTATATGTTTAATAAAACAATTCTTTGACCAAGTTTATTCCTTTTTAAATCCTCATTTACAGCAACTTTTCCAATTTGTGATGTGTTTAGTTTTGATAAATAGGTAAATTATACCTTGCGTTTCATTTATGTTAAAACCATTCAGTTATAATCATACAGTGCATTACAGAAAAGTTGTCATGCAATTTATAAAATACTAGTGTTCTGCAAACTTTTTAAATTATAGTATTTGCCAAAAAATAATCATTTTTGTCTGTCATTAAACTTGTTACAAATTTTATTTATTTCATTTTATATCGTCTCATTGTGGTTTTTCTATAAATATAACAATGGACAGTGTGTGTCTGGTTACAGTTATATTAATAGATTCTTTTGTCCTCGTTACAATATACTGTATTTGGTTGTTGTGTTGGACAGTGGTACCATAATTAGCTTAATTTAACATGAGTGACAAATTTGGGTAGCCTATAATTTCTGCTGCAATTTTACTCTGCCTGATGAAGACTTGTATTGTGCACACTAGCCTGAAAGTAAAACAAAATGTTTGACTACTACCAGGCTGATTTCAATTTACTGCTTATTAAGAGGACATAATTAATTACATGATACCACTATATGTGATCATTGTGGTATATATGATATATATGATATGATGAAATCCATTCAGGTGGAGCTTATTCAACAGGTTCTATAGCTATGCTCAGCTTGGGCCTTGTCTTTTCTTAACACAGTAACATGGGTAATTAGGGAGGCTATGCTATTAAAGTCTCTTTAAAATAAATTGGGAAAGTAATCAACTCTTCTGGGCCTTGATTTGTGTTGGTGATAGGCGAGTAGAATGATCACTCTCCTAGAAAAGGTATCTTAGTTGTGGCTCTACCTACATGTATATAAACACTTGCATGTATATGTTTTCTAGCCTGATATTATTTTACTCAAACTGTCTGTCCTTTTTAACTCCTGCAGTATTTTATCATTTTCTCGCTAGTTGGTCTTATTTTGTTCATTCTGCTATTATAATGTTGAGTTTGAAAGACATCAATGTTATCAACATTACTAATAATTGCAGTGATCATTTATCTGTGTCCCGACGCAACAGCTGGACTATCCTCAACTTTTATCTCTGGTTTCTTAACGTTGTGGCCACATGGTGCTATTAAACTTTTGTTCTTGGTCTCTGTGTTGGCAGAATCATTTGAATTACCACTTGTACTATATATTGTACCACTACCTAATGTTACCTAAATGTGCATTATCTGACCACAATATGACTAGTAACTAGTATTTGACTCTGCAATGCCATCTGACCAGCAGCCTGTCACTGCCATGAGTTGTAATGGCCATGTGGTACTGGTAAGTTTTGTCATGACCACCTATGACTGAGTTATCATGTAGTCACCAGATCTGTATGTTTATTGGTGTATATGCAAATTGTGCCATCTGAAAACTGTATAATGATCAATCACCAGATCTTTATCATGCATGTATATTGGTCTGTGCTGGTCTGCCATCTGACCACTCCACGGCCGATAGTCATTTATCGGTCACCTGAACTGTACATTCAATTGGTGTATGCCAGTTGTGCCATCTGACAACTGTATAGCAATCAGTCACTGTATGTACTTTGGTATATGACAGTTGTTAATCAATGCCCTCTTCTACCTTGTGCATTCCACATATTGTATGGTTCAGTGCATTCTATTTGTCAGAAAGGAACAGAGCTTGGTTAATCACTGGAGGGGCTTACAGAACATATCATGCAACATTGGAATTGTGGTGTGAATCTGAAACCTTCTTGTTGATATTAATGTGTAGCAGTTTATTAGTTTAAGAGTACCTTGTCTAAATTTGTTATTGGTATATTTTCTATACCTATGACCACGATGACCCCCTTTTCGCCAACACAACCTTACTTTTTCAAGTGGCACAGACCATTGTTTGTAACAATACACCCTAAGTGCAGCAGAATGGTGAAGTTGTTAGGGCTGTAAATTTTTCCTTTGAAAAGCAGACTTTGCAATGCTAATTCAGTCATTGCTCACATTCCAAAGCTTGTTTGCACTACTAGTCATTGGACAAAAATTCAACTTTCGTTTCAAAAATATGAATTGCATCACATTCAAGTAGTTATTTGAAAACAAAAACAGAAGTAATTCAACATTTCTAGAGGTCTGTATAGATAAATACAAATATTCCTTTGGGGCAACACTTTGTGGTAGGACATAGTCAGTTTTTTGTTGTACATTTGATGGCTTTACAACATGGCCAATGAGGCATGACCCAAAACTGAATCATGTATTGGTTAATAGAATAGCTTTTTCAACCAATTTTATTAATACTATCAGGGCTTTACAAGTATGCATTTGTCATTTTGTGGATAAGTTATTTATATTTGAACAGAATGTGTTTCCTTTTTTATTTTCATTCAGTTTTCTGCCAAAAATTAAAATTGTGTAAATATAATTTTGAATTTTAGTTAAATAGTATTAATTTGCTCTGTTATAAATGAAATGTCTCTGTCCACCTTCTTAGATTTAAAATGCGTGTGGATAAAATGTCCCTTATGTTCTGAACATCCCCAATTTTCTGTGTTTTGTAAATTGTATTACAATTATTATAATTTCAATATATCAAAATGCATTACAAGTAATTTAACATGAAAGGATATCTTATTAAGATTAGATACAATGGAGAATGCTTGCAGTGATGTGGCTGACCAAAGAAGGCAGTACATTTGCCGTGTGATGTCCTGGCAGAAAAAAAAAATCTTCTATGTTTAGGTTGGAGTTCCTTTGGGTCCCCTCACCCATAACTCTAGCCCTAACCTTGCTCCTCCCCATTTTCAATTGTATATACCCCTCTTTGCTTCACTTGTAGTTAATTGAAGGGGCATAGTGAATTACATTGGGGGCTGGAATGTTAGCGTGAGGGTTTAAATTAGGGGTGACAATATAAGGAGATGTAAATTGTCATCTAAATATAGTTATTGTTGTGAGAATAATTAGATGAGTTTAGTTTACTGTGAAAAATGCATAATTGAATACTGTAAAATGACTAATTTTCACTGGGTTTAAAAATTTCACTGATTTACCATTTCAGGCATATTCAGTGGGTTTTAAATTCAGTTTCGTCATTTAGATAATGTGTTCTATGATAAATTTTACATATTCACTGGGTTTTAATTTAGCGCATTTTTCCAGTCAGCGAAATAAGCTAAATTAAAACCCAGTGAATAATTACCCCCTTTACAGTAGTACATTTTAATTCTGTTTAATATCCTATTAATTTGTCTAATTGAGTATTGCCAGATGTTGTCAGTGTTCAATGAATACATCTTCAATATCAGTTTGCATTATTTTGAATCTGGTAATGTAGCTAAATTATATAATTTAGTTTGCATGTAAATTTGAAGGTGTTGCAGAGGTCCTGCTTTCTATTGGTAACAATAGTTTTATACAAATTGTTAAAGCTAGTCTGCATTTTACCGGTAAGTGTTTTCAAACACAAAAATATCATGCATGTAACTATATGACAGAACCCCACACCCTCCCCGTGGCTTTCGTTGCGTATGGAAGTTATTTTCACGAGTGATGCGGTGTATCCTGCGGCCGTACTTTCACGAGCAACCACCTGTTAACATCCTATTTGTTCGATATTCTATCAAGACATTCTTCAATTCAAAAATGGCTGCTTTGTGTTACCAAGGAAATAGGTCAAATCTTACATTATGCACGAGTAATTCTTTGTATATGTGGTTAACCCCTTTGTTTGGGTGTCAGTCTACTCGTATTG